CAAATAGATGCTGCTGCTGGCTGCATCTTTTGCTGTGCACGGGGCGCTGCTGCGCGCGCCCTCGTGACCGACGGACGCGGGCCCGCGTCGCGCGAAGCCACGAAGATCAAGCAAGGCAGAAGCGCGACGCGTCCTGACCATTTAAATGGACGCGTTGCAGCCGCATCATGATTCAGAATCTTCTCAAGCGCCTCTCCACCCCAGCAGCTGCGATCGGCGCGTTCGTGATCCATTATCTCAATGAATGTGCACGTCGCGAAAGCCTGTCAAGACCTCGGAGCAGCCGGGTTTGATAATTCAAACTATTCGTGATTGTCAGGGGCTGTGCCATGCATTACCGCCAACCGCATAGTCACCGTTGCCAACCGGACACCAATCAAAGTCAATCAACATCCAACGTGACCCGACTACACTGGGTATTTGCAAGTCTGTGCTGATAGCGTGGCTTCGTCGAAATACCGTCCCGCGACGCTCCTTTGGTCCGACACGGCCGCGGATCGCCGCTTCTTCTAACATCAGAGCCATACGAGTTTGTCTGTGTAAATCACGAATGCTCATGGCTCTCAAGTGTATGTGCGTCACCGGAAGCTGAAAAGCTTTGCCCGCAAAACGGCAAAACTGTCTAGACGGTTGTCTCGGCAAGACTCTCTCTCTCTCGGCCGAGAGTGGGGCCAAGAGCTTCTGCGGTCCGTCCTCCACTCTTTCGCGACTCCTTGTCTACTAGCTGAACTCGTAATCACGAGTGGCGATTTGACCATGTTGCCTTGAGGGATGACGGTTTGTATTGACCATTTGTATGAAGTGTGAGTGTATGGGCTACTCAAGTCATGGGCATACACGCTGCAAGATCGATTAAACGATCACATTCTTGAATCACGACGAAGTGAGAATCTGGAACGAGTCTGCGCCACTCTTTCGGATCGAACTTTCGGTCGAGCTGGCTCAAGCAAAGTGCTTTGCGCAGTGGCATAGAACCAGATCACCGGTTCGAAAATCGATCGGAAGTGACAAGCACTTGATTGAAGGCCGCAGCGTGCATGCAGGACGTGTGCTGTCTTGGCTTGCAATCACAATATGCCTGTCTGTATGAGGAGTTCCTGTCTGCGCAAGCCGAAGAAGGGTCGCGGAACGTTTTAAAGAGGGTTGGCCGGCATGAGCCAGGAGTACGTAATACTCTAACCTCTTCTGCACTCCTGACCCGACTATAAATCGTCGCATTTCGAGCGTCCATCACTTCGGTGCCGCTCACGACCACGCCTTCGTTGCCAGCCTGCATGGACTGAATAACATAACATCTGGTCAAGATCGAGTCAAGAGTGCCGAAACATATCGTCCGTCCGTATTTGCCAACATGTCTCAGAAGCAGAATGAAGGCTCAAAACAAGACCTGAGTGGTCTGATCAACAAACATCTGCTCTACACCTACGACAATGGATGGAAGTACGAGAGCGTGAGCGGTAGGAGGAGCAAAAGCAGTCAAGGTCAGCGCGTTCGACTGTCGAGTGTGCTGACGTAAACATTGATTGTATCGTGTAGTGGATCAAAAGCCCGACGAGGATCGTGTATAAGATTCACGGAGGTGGGCATCTGACTCGGCTTTGCGCCAAGCAGAGCTTCTGATCCTCACCCTTTTCGATCTTCGCAGGACCCATGGGCGGTAGGGACAATTATCAGACCATCTCGTGTCGCGTCGTCCGAGAGCCTTCGAAGGAGACTGGAGAGCAAGGTGTCTATCTCATTTCCTGGCTCGAAGAGACAGGCACAGTCGTTTCGATGACCATCGACTTTACCAACAACAAAGTCAACTCCTTCATCTGCTTTTCCAAAGGTCACTGGGAGAATGTGAGTCGTTTTGACGTTCCACATGGAGATCTCCAACGCCACATGAGCTGCGGAGACGGGCTGACCTAGTTTGGAGGTCATCTGACTCCTGCTGTACACCTTCAGCCACAAATCGCACACGGACACTACAAGAAGGAACAATGGCGCCAGCTGGCCAAGGTTCCAGGCGGGGAATCCATAACCACAGATCGCACCATCATCAGCGAGAGCGCAACTCTTTCGGAGGTGACAGAGTGAGTCGTGCTCCGTCTTCGCGACTTATCAGAAGCAATTGCTTACCTCTACTCATTTTTTGAAAAGGGGACGAGGTGAACTCGAGGACGTCGCAGAGGATGCGCCCACCTTGTGATTTGCACAGTCCTAACTTAATTTGTCCATCGTCGGAAGCAGCTTCCTGAGCCGGGACTTAACTGGATCACCAGTCACGCTTCTGAGCAGGCTTGTAGGCACGTCTTCGCTCACTGAGATCGGATGTGAATGAAGAATGAGTAAACGAAAGAATACAACAGAGAAAAACCGTACCCTCTCCGCAGTGTGCGACTAGAACGCGCGCAATCCAGCTAAAAAAGTGACGAATAAGACTGTGGAGACTTGTGATTGATATCGTGATTGAGAGAGATAGAGGTGACGCCAAGACCGAAAATTGCTGAAAGGCGTCTGAAACGATCCGATCGTTGCGGCTGCTCATTGCACCTCCCTGCGAGGCGATTGACGGCGAAGAGATGAAATCGCGAAGCGGTATGACGGGTGTTCGAGGCAAGACAGAGACATGAGAGACGTGAGTTGTAAAAGCTTAGCAGATGACGCATCTGCATCCTGCTTGAACGTCGTCTTTCTTCAAAGATTCATCTGAAAGCGTGAGAAGCGGTGCATCTTCAGCGGAACGTATCGACGCGCTCATTCAGGGTCCAACTCGACACCATCGCCGATGATCACACTCACCATCAGCATTTGTGTCTTTGACTGGTTGGCGGATCAGAATGTGCACCACAGTGACCTTTCCCAAAGGCATACCTCCCGTAGCAGGTCTTCCGCCAGCCGCGGGAGAGTCTCCGCTGAGCGGCGCTCGATCATCCAAGATGTGACCCAGATGCAGCATCCTGAGAGCCGACGGCTCTGCGGGCCGCAGAGGGAAATCTGCGGCGTGAGGAAAAGAGGAAGAGCCTGTGAGCGACGAGCCGGGGTGCCGTGCTAATGCAGACCACGGGTCCTCGAACGCTAACTTGTCTCTTGAAAGCTCCTCGACAGGCACTCACCTGCTGGCCATTCATTCCAGATCTGATCCCTTGCCTCTGACACGAGCGTGCTAGGCTCAAAGTCGAAGAGATGCCTCTGACCCGAAGTCAGGAGCGCATCGATGCGGACCTTATCTTTCGCTATCAGAGCTGACCTGACCCTGGACGACGTTGATGCGACTGTGGATGCGTCGACTGCGCCTGAAGGTCCTGCGTTGCTGCTGCTAGCCAAGTCTATCTCGGAGGGACTGTTTGCAGTGGCCGCTACGTTGGCTTCGACCTGCGTAGACATGATGATGGATCTGAGACCTCCCAGGCTGTAGACTACGAGAGGGGCTTGTGAGCGAACGGGTTCTGGTTCTCCGGAAGATGATGAGGATGTTGGGAAGTCGCTGACAAGCGCCGTACAAAGACCGGACGATGTGAAGGGTATTGCGTCAAGTGGAGCGATGCAAGTCGCCAGTCGCACCAGTCTGAGGAGGTGTCGAATGAGGCAAGCGGCCAATGTACTGTGACTGTATGCGCGGCGCTCACCGCCCGAGTCGCAGGGTGCCACCGGCGGGCCAAGTTACGCGCTGCAGTCTGGATTGCCGGTGCGCCGAGTGTTTCGGCTGCTGGGCTATGGTGCCGCGTGTTTTGTGGAGGCGAATTTCGTCTCGCGAGACCTTTATTGCCGCACAGTCCGATTACAGTGCTGATGCGGTGGGTTTTTGGCCTCTTTAGAGAGTATTCAGGGGTATGCTGAAAGGTAGTGGTGAGTGTGAGTCGAAAATGTCCAGAAGTGTATGTGCATGGAAAGGATGCTGTACCGGTAGCTTCAGGGGTGCGAAAGGCGTGCGATCATTCGAAGCGTGATTTATAAGTTGGCGGGGCGGAGTTGGGAACGGATAAGCGTGATGGACCCGAGCGAGGCCTAGGTGTGCGTGTGCGTATGCTGTGTGTGCGTGTGCGTGTGCGTGTGCGTGTGCGTGTGCGTGTGCGTGTGCGTGTGCG